CTGGGACTTACCCAAGGCCGCTTGAAGACCCTTCACTTCGAGAACCAATTTCTCGTGGGCCTCCACCGGTACACCGGCCGCCACCGACGTTGCTCGATGAGCATGGGTGTCGTCAATTCCATGTCGAGAGACTACTGAAACGACGTCGTCGTCAGGGCCAATATCAGTATCTGGTAAAGTGGCGTGGGTACCCTGAGTCTGAAAACTCATGGGAATTTGAGGTACCCCTTCGGCAAGACTGCCCATATGCTTTGGAGGCTTTTGAGCATCGTGGCCATGGTCATCGCGAGGCCGAGGCCGTTCACCACCACTAGTGGTGCGGGTTGGCGGGTTGTTGGTCACAGACTGACCAGCACTCGCGGCTACCTTAGTAGCCGAAGCATAGCGCGTGCGCTTGCGCAATTGGCCTCTGGCCTTAAGCTTGGCATAATCATACCGAAGCTTGCGTTCGAGACGCACATCCGCCGCATGGGCACTAGCCCTTAGAGCAAAAATGTTGCTGAGGCGACGCACATAGTGCACCCAGTGAACAAAGGCATCGTCTTCTTCACTCGCTGTTTCGCCTGCGAGCAGGAGAATGGGTATACCCTTCATCGGTGGAACTGGTGCACCACGTGCTTGCATGTCAAGGCGTGCCTTGTATTGACTTTGAGTCGTTAGGTGCGGCTCCAGGTACCTCTCACGAAGTGCCTGGCAGCTCACCACCTCCTCAGGAGTCTTAGGCCCATGGCCAATGACCCACGTTGCCAATGTTTGGCCGGCCGCTTGACGCAGACGTTCCTCCACACTGGGTGGGGTGAACACATAATCACGCTGGCGTTCAAGGGTTGCAGTCATCTGTGCATAACGCTGAGCGTTTTGTTCTCTTTGAACAAGCAGTTGTTGTTGCTCATCGAGCGGGTTCGCGATGATAGTCTCATCAAACCCAGATGCTGCACGCTGCGCTGGCGGCGCGCTCGCACCTCCACGTTCAGCGAACGGATTTGGGGTGTTCGAAAGTTGTGCCTCAGGCATCAGTGAGCCGGACGTTGTCCCTGTGTCACCGCGGACACTGGTATCGCTACCATAGTCCACCTCTTCCTCTATTCCGAGGTAGTCACACAGAGCCTTTGACTCGTTTGGTGATGAGGACATCGTGCTAGAGCGTACGTTACCGTGAGGTTCACCGTACGCGCACTGTTCTCGCTGAGAATACGAGTTCGATTGACGTTTTGGGTAAACGTCAGTCTGGTGGGGGAGGGTGTAACGGGGTTGCACGAAATCATGGTACTTTGTACCAGAGGTGTTACACACCTGAGGGTTCGCTTCTGTGAAGGTGATATAGAATATCTTATCGGTTTGTAGGGGCTGACAAGTGTCAGCCATTAGATACGAAAGATCTTTGAGTAGGATTAAGATATTCTATAGGCTTTAACATTAAATAAAATCAGTTCCCATTTTGATCTGAAAGACGCGTGGCTTGCGAGCCGTCTTGATCGTTGATCTCTGATCACTAAGAGTTAGCAACACCTCCTTGAGGTAGCTACTCTTGAGCACTAAGTGCTGTCGATTCACTGAATCGTTAGGTCCCCTGGAACAGGGATCTGAAGCTGTAAAGCTTGCTGACTCGTAAAGTCGTTAGTTCTTTGGAACTAAGTTGCTCGTAGAGCGTTAAGTCTTCCTCTGACTTAAGGAGCTGTGTAGCTCCGCTACATCTAGAGTAGACCTTCTAAAGCCGTGCCGAGCCCCACCTTCGCCTTGCTACACGGCTGGCGTTTAATGTACATCAGTACGTGCCGATTCGATACGTTTGGTGGGGCATCCCACCGAAAGCTGTAAATCGATGTATGTGCCTCAACGACAAAATCAAGAGCCCATTGCGAGCTCCTGATGACGGCCACGTCGTCTCCAGACTCCGGACGTATTAGATGTGAGTCATCGACTATCCAATTAATCCCGTTGGCCTCTTGCTTCAGCATGATTCCTCGAGATGAAAAATACGGCTCTGTAACTGCTACCCCTCGGACAGTTCCGGGATCTACCAGCACCTAGTCATAATATAGCCGGAAGTCCGGGGGTGTCGTAAAGTCACAATGGGGAGAACCTCGAATGTCCGTCCTATAGCCAACGGAAGACTCCCCAACAGAATTGCTATAGCCCAGCGCCCGAGTTTGTGGTCCGTGTGGTGCTTGTCTGCTCCCTCAGCCAACGGGACGTGACAAACGTATGTTGTTGGAACAATTTGCTCATTCGCAAGTTCTCCAGTGTGCACGGCCTGATGCGGTCGTATTTCTTGCGTATCACCAATGACCTGTGCCATCGCATAGCCGTTGGAAGTCTGCCCACGAAAAATTACAACAATGTGTGACTTAGTACAAGACATCGGACATCAGAAACAACAAAGTGGGAGCGTGACGAAGTACAAGATGCCGCGTTCCTCATTCAGAATGTCGTGTTCCTCATTCAAGATGTCGTTTCCTCATTCAAGATGTCGTTTCCTCGTTTGAGATGTCGTTTCCACGATTCTAATGTGGCTCAGTATGATGCTAGGACACAGCACCGGGACAGTAGTTGGCTGGGACGCACCGCTACGGTTGGTACAGTTCCAGCATGTTTACACCTGTTGGTGGATACTGCTCAGTCCAACAGAGGGGGTTGTCACCTTCGAGTTTTTTTTCTTCCTCAATGTAACGGGGCACCCTGAAGCTTGTACTGGTGACAGTACAAGCTACTTATTCTGATAACAGAATAAGGCGGTGCCTCGTAACTTCACGTACACTGGTACGTGCAGAGGAAGACGGTAAGGAGAAGAGAGTACTTGGTTAAAGTAAAAAGTAGAACTGTATTTAGTATAGTTAATGTCTGCAATAAATCACTATTTATCTTCATCTAACTATGTCTAAATACAAATGTGTAAATCAGTTATCTGCTCACCACTCATTGCGTGCGTCTGTCGTGGCGCGTCTTCGTTGGTTGATATAATGGCCTATATCAACCAATTAGGAACTACTTGGAAGTGCTACAGAATATTGTCCTTATGACAATATTCTGAGAATATAACTCTTATAGTTATATTCTATTAACAATTTCTTATAAATTGTTATGTAACGATTCACCCCGTTACATCACCCCCCTTAACCATCAGTCACTTTAGTGACTGATTGACTAAATGGATACTCGTCCCAAATCATTTGGGACGGGGTTTGCACTTGTTGGTCCGCGTCCACTTTCCAACATCTCATCGCATGGTAAACAAGCCCATGCGATGCGCGAGCAAGGCCGCCGAGAGCGCGTCTGCACGTCTCTGTGCGGACGCCGAAGCAGAAACAACAGCAACTGATATCCCATCGGTTGCTGAATCGACTCAGCCTGTATCACCTGGTGATGCAGGCGCTGGTCATGAAGACACTCGTGTCTTCACAGAGTACGAGCTCGGTGTCTCGTACTCTCCTGATACGGATGACGGATCCGTATCGACGGCAATTGAATCCAAGGCGCCTGCCAAGCGTGGCATGGACGATGCTTTGCGTCGCAGCATCTTTGGTTCATCTGATGAGTCAGATGAACCATCGCCGAAGCGAAGGCGCTCGAGGTCGCGAGACTCGGGCGCTAATAGTGGTGTCGTTTCTCCAATGGACACCACTTCACAGCGAGGTGCCAGTACTTCTGTCGGCACTTCGCAGGAAGAGCGGGACCGCAATGTGTTGCGTCTCGCTCCAGAAAAGAAGGCATGGATGCCTCCTAAATCTGTCATGGATCACTTGTCGGCGACGACGAGTGCTCGTTATCGAACACGATTGTTCGATTCGTCAAGGATTCATCACCTTGACCCCAGCGCGAAAGGCTATCGCGCTGAACATGAGTTCTTCATCGATGCTTTCTTCAGACATCGATGGTACAGTGGGAATCACAAACGTGATGGTCCCTCACTACTTCAGGCGTGGAACGCCTACATCCATAATCTCGAGGATGTAGGTCGTGACGCTTGGAACGACAAACTTATCAAAGCTCGTGATAAGTTTGAAAAGCGAACCCCGACAGGTGCACGCTACAAGCTGCATCGTCTGTCAAGGGAGAAAGGATTACCCTGCCTCTCTTGGGGAGACTCGTGCCCATGTTGTGTGAACAACTCTGCACGAGCACCTAAGGAGGCTTACCTCCTTACCAGCCCGTGGTGGCGCGTACGTGTCTCTACTGAGATGTACGAAGGGATTGACAACCTGAAATCCCTTTACGACTGTGCCGGGAAGACTTTCTCCGGCGGTCCTTCTGCGGCACAGGATGTGTCGCGTCGTACCGCTCGACCAGACCCAGTACGTCAACCATCAATTGGGAGCGGGGCTCCCAAGAATCCCAGGACGGGGGATAGCCGCGCCACCGGACGAGGTAACTCGTCCGACGTCCGTTCACGTCGCGGTGGTTCAACAGCTGCTCAACTAGATAGCGCTGGCCACCGCGAGAGTCCTCTAATGGAGGTGGAGGAGGAGGAAAGACGCTCTCCACACGATCATGTGGATCGGTGTGTTCCCGAGAGCTTCTTTGATCGCGTAACGCAAGGGTTACGCGACGATCTCGAGCATGAGCGGGACAGGCGTCTCCAAATGGCGGACACTGCCTCGAAGCATCGAGCTGAGTTTGCCTTTGCTCAGCTTGAGAACGAGAGATCTCTGACATCTCTTCGTGACGAGCTAAGGGTAGCTCGTGGGATTGCTGATCGGTCTCGGGATGAGATAGCTGCTCTTCAGACCCTTGTTGATGCCCACCATCGGTAGCACAAGGCTCTCTGTAAGATTCTTGAGCGCAAGGGCGTTCTTCATCGGAAGAAGCAGCGTACTGATGGTACGGCTTAAGCCGACCAACGTAAAACGTGGGATGCGTTCGCATCTTACGTGGTAACTCGATCGTGTATGCATTGCCTAGGCGGTGCAATACACGAAATGGGCCAATGTACTTGGGTAGTAGTTTACTGCTACCCAAGTTAGTCACTACATGCTTCGGTAGATTAACCGTAGACAGTAGGACTAAGTCACCTTTATTAAATAAAAGAGTGTTTGCCCTTCCATTCTTGTCAGCGTTTTGCTTTTGCTTATCCACCGCTTCGGCGATGGAGTCTTGCACAAAACGGACTACCGTTTCACGAGCCAGTATGAACTCATCTGATGACTCGTTAGCTTCAGTGTGCTGTGAGCGCACTGCAGCGACAACAACCTTTTCTTCAGTGAGGGCTTCCGCACTCTCACTGGGGTCATCTTCTTCAGTGAGGGCTTCCGCACTCTCACTGGGGTCATCTTCTTCAGTGAGGGCTTCCGCACTCTCACTGGCATCATCTTCTTTGATATCGATGTTATCGATATCGGCATCAAACGCAATGACTTCTTCGTCAGAGCGTGATGAGCGTGAACCAATTCGGTTTTTGCTCGCGCGAGTCCCTCCCCCCCTTAAACCAGAGTTACACTCTAGTAAGGTGGGTACACGCGGATGGCGCAAGCCATTCACGTAAAACGGTGTATGTGTCGTGGACGCATGCACCGAGTTGTTGATGGCAAACTCTACCATTGGCAAAAACTCACTCCAACTCTTAAAGGAGTGTACGTATCCTCGAAGTATCTCTTCAAGGACACGATTGGCACGTTCCGTCTGACCATCTGACTCTGGATGATCAGATGTTGACATCTTCAAGCGCGTTCCGAGTGATTTGAACACGGAACGCCAGAAATCAGCAGTGAATCGTGGATCTCTGTCTGATACGAGTTCACGGGGCAACCCATGAAGTCGGAAGATGGTGTCAATAAAGACACAAGCACAGCCACTTTCCGTGATTGTCTCTGGTACAGCCACAAGGTGTACCATTTTGCTGAATCTGTCAACAAATACGAGAATACCCGTATTCCCGCGTGCGTCTTTGGGTAACCCGAAGACGAAATCCATTGAGATGGATTCCCAGCACTCAGCCGGAACCGGTAGAGGCTGTAAAGGTGCACGCAGTGAAGGACTTGACTTCACTCGTTGGCAGACTTCGCATGCGCGAACATACTTTCGCACAAACTGATACTGGCGGGGCCAGTAAAAGTCTCGACTTACCGTGAGATATGTTTTCTCTCGGCCACGATGTCCTCCTATAGGAGCATCGTGATACTCGAACATGATCCGCAAACGCAGATCAGTATCATCTGGAATGACAACACGTGGTGTGTCACCAGAAACGGCTGTATAGTACAGTAAACCGTTACGAGTAGTGTATCGGTCTGATGCAGATCGATACGCAGACGAAAATCGTTTCAACGATTCTCGAGATGGTTGGGAGAGATGTGACAACAACTTCACTATCTCACCATCTTGGGCGTATGCCCGCCTCACATCATCATACAACGTTGTAGATGGAACTGAGGACGTCATAACCGCAACAGTGACTGTCTCACTGTTGGGTTTCGCGACTGTTTCAAAGTCGGGACGACGTGAGAGTGCATCAGCGACGACATTAAGTCGTCCTGGTTTGTACTCGACCGTAAAGTTGTATTCTGCAAAGAATGACAACCACCGCGCCATTCGTTGTGAAAGGTGCGGGCTGTTCACTGCCGTGCGTAAGGACGCATGGTCAGTGTAAACAACGAAGGGTCTATCTCCTAATAGATAGACTCTGAACTTCGCGAGTGCATACTTCATGGCAAGGAGTTCCTTGTCATGCACTGGATAGTTCCGCTCAGCTGGTTGCAGCTGACGCGACTGATAGCAGACGACGCGTTCAACGCCTTCTAGGTCGTACTGCATTAATGCACAGCCGATTGCGAAATCGCTGGCATCACAGACCACATGAAATGGCCTGTCCTGATCGGCTATTGCTAGGACTGGGGATTGTATCAAGCTCTGCTTGATACCATCAAAGGAGCGCTGACATTCAGCGTTCCATAACCACCTCTCGTTCTTTTTCAACAAACGAGAGAGGTGTACAGTCATCTCGGCGTAATTGCGTGAATACTTATGCAAATACGCCGCTAGCCCAAGGAATTTTCGAAGACCTTTGACATCGACCGGCACGGGCCAGTCGGTGATCGCCTTGATCTTTTCGGGATCAGGACGTACACCGTTCTTACCAACGATGCACCCAAGAAGTGGTATTTCGCTTGCTGCAAATATACACTTCTTGAGGTTTGCATACAATTGATGTTTTCGCATGATTGTAAGAACTTGTCGGACGTGGTACTTGTGAACCTCAACGTCCGACTTTCCATCCATAGCTCGACTATGGATGAATACGTCATCGAAATAACTCGGCGCGAATTCTCGTACTGGTCTCAACAGATGTGATACACACCTGTTGAACGTGGCAGGGGCATTACTGAGCCCTTGTGGCGTTACTAGCCATTCCCAGAGCATGCCGCTAGGCGTGCTAACTGCGGTATAGGGTATATCCCGTTCCCGCATTAGGATTTGATAGAAGCCATCCATCAAATCCATGGACGAAAAGATGGTACTCTTTGACATACCATCAATGATTACGTCCTTCCTCGGTATCGGCGTCTGAGCCGGTACCGTTGCAGCGTTCAATTTGTTGAACGCGTGCACTATCCGCCACCCTCCTGTTGCTTTTCGCACACAGAAGGTCGGAGAGCTATGTGGGGAAGTTGATTCCCTCACATGGCCCGCAGCTAAACGATCGGCAAAGAACTTGTCGATCGCAAGTACTTGTTCACGAGGCAGTGGCCACTGCTTCATGACACAGTACTTCGAGCCTGGTTTAAGCTCGACCTCGTGTCGAATACCTTTATCCTTCGGTAATTCGCACGGAACAGTTTCAGGGAATACATCCTTGAATTCAACCAAATCTTCATAGAGAGGATTTTCCTTGAGCGATTCCCATGATTGGGACTCATATCGCTCAATTCGTGTCTTTTCATCTAGGACACTCTCGTCCATAGATGAACTACTGAGAACTCTCTCGTTCTCAGTAAACACTGTTGCTGACCTTATGTCGGTTACATACTCGTCTTCAGCGACGAGTATGCAGATCTGCTTGACTTTGCCACTACGCAGATCACGCAAGAATCTTTTATGTTCGAGCGTTGGCAACTGAGTGATCGCCGAAGTTAACTTCGGAGGCGCAATCAGATCAAGTGTATAAGCGCCTACACATGATCCGTTATTGACTATGACATTCAATGTCTCTGTCATTTCCTGGGGACTTATTCCCTCAGGCTTCGAAGGACTTATTCCTTCGTCTTCCCGGGGACTTATTCCCGCGGGTTTCGGGGAACTTATTTCCGCCGTATTTGTAATCTTGGGACTTATTCCCTTTACTTCCTCTAGCTGGGGTTGCGCAACCACAGCGAGATCCTCTACGAAAGACTCTCCAGTCGATCTAGGATTATCGTTTCGCTTAACCTGAGCGATCGATTGTTTCTCTTCTAGATGTTCCCCTCTAGGGATACATCTTTGTCCCAGTCCACCCGACTTATTCGAGTGGTGAACCTTCGGCGCAGCCTGTGTTTCCTCACAGCCGCCGGAACTTTGCTCCGAAGTGTAACCGTTTGGTACACTAAGGTTTTGTGCAGTCGTACTAACGACCGTACCACAAGTGAGGCCATCGCACTCACTCGTAGTACATCCACACGCTTGTGGACGCTCCAAAACGTTCATCAGATGGCCATCTGATGAACAAGCGGCAGGCATCGTTTCTGTCCGATGTTGCCAGTTTACCCGTGGTTCGTACCTTCTGAGCCACGGTATTCCAAGGATGACATCAAATTTGTCATCCAAATCCAATACGATAAAGTCATCGTCGTATTGGGTATCTTCTAGCGTATAGTGAATCTTCACTATACGCTTCATGACGGTTACGGATGCACCTGTCGCAAGACGTACCGTCATCCTCGTAGGAGGTGTGTCACATTCACTGAATTTAAAGTGACCATCTTCTAGCGATTGGCGTCGCACAAAATTGTTGGACGCCCCACAATCGACTAGAGCTCGAAGGGACAACTTATTCGTCACTTCGAGTTTCAAGGTAATGAGTGAGATCTCATTACCTAGAGCAGCAACGCACAATGTCTGTGTGTTGGGAGCAACCTTCATCAAGAGGCCTACAAATTCTCTTGACGTTGCTGGATCAGTAGGGTGCTCCGCACCTACTGATCCTGTCCGTTTTTTGACGGTCCATCCCGTTGTTGCGTCTTTGCACCAACTGCGGACCCTCGTCCCTGCCCCTTTCTCATGGGTGGACGGTCACTACGCCCAGTGTCGCGAGACACTGGACGAGGGGCACTACACTCGTAAGCGTAGTGTCCTGTCTTTTGACATCTGTTGCATCTCTGCAACTTCTTGTAGCCTGTAGAGCGAGCCTTCTCGCTCTCTACATAACAGAGTTCCATCGGCTCTGGACCTCCGTTGTCATATCGTCTCGGTTGACGATATGATGTCGAGCTGGCGCGAGCCTGTCTCAGACTGAAGTCTTCCTGCTCCGCAATTGAAATGGCTTGTTCTAGTGAATCTAGTTCAAGCCGGAACAGGTGAGTCTTGACGGGACCATCCGCAAGACCCTGCATGAACACCGAAACCAACGTGTGTTCATCCACCGGATTGGAACTTATACAATTCGTGAGATGTCGTATATGTTGAGCGTAAGCGTGCACATCACGCTTACCCTGCTTGAGCTTCAAGAGTTCGGTTCGAGCCCTGAACTCAGCTCTAGGCGGTTCAAACGTTTGTCTGAGCCGCGACTTGAAGACTTCCAACGACCCAAACGCATATGGGTCGTGCAGCTTGAGCCCCAGTGCCCAAGTCTTGGCACGTCCTGCCAGATTTGACTGGGCAAATGCAACTTGCATATCCCCGTCGTCGATGCGACGCGCCCTTATGGCGTCATCCAATTCGACGAACCATCTCAAGAGGGAGTCTTCTTCGACCCCCCTATACTTTGAGATGTCAATCTTCAAAGTCTCGGGCCGACGCGAGTGCATCGACCCGCCAGCAGCAGCCTGCTGCTGTCTCAACAGTTCAAACTGTTGAGCACCTTGTTCTCTCAACAACTCTGCTTGTTGAGAACCTTGTTGGTGAAGCAAGGCTACTTTCTCGCGTTCTGCGTCAAGTTCATTTTGAATGAACTTGGCGATAGTAGCATGTTGGGCATCTCTATTGAGAGCCTCTAGCATGACGCTAACAGCATGGATGCCCATGGTCGAACCCATTCGTTCAACCGCATCCCATTCGACATCGCTCAAATGGGAGTAGCCGTCACGCGTAGCGTGAAAGCTTTGGTCATCTTCATCATCCAACATATTCATGTTGGATGTGAACGCGGTCCTTGGACGAACTACGAAGTGCTACCAGGTGTAACGGGGCACCCTGAAGCTTGTACTGGTGACAGTACAAGCTACTTATTCTGATAACAGAATAAGGCGGTGCCTCGTAACTTCACGTACACTCGTACGTGCAGAGGAAGACGGTAAGAAGAAGCGAGTACTTGGTTAGAGTAAAAAGTAGAACTGTATTTATAATAGTTAATGTCTGCAATCAATCACTATTTATCTTCATCTAACTATGTCTAAATACAAATGTGTAAATCAGTTATCTGCTCACCACTCATTGCGTGCGTCTGTCGTGGCGCGTCTTCGTTGGTTGATATAATGGCCTATATCAACCAATTAGGAACTACTTGGAAGTGCTACAGAAATTTGTCCTTATGACAATATTCTGAGAATATAACTCTTATAGTTATATTCTATTAACAATTTCTTATAAATTGTTATGTAACGATTCACCCCGTTACACTCAATCTTAAAGTGAGAGAGGCTCAGACTGTCCGTTGTTATAGCTACTTTTCACTGATATGATGTCTGGTTGTGTGGTAACCATCTCGTGTCACCGACCGTGACACAGTCTTACGACTCCTAGCTTTCTCATTCTGCTGGCTCAAGTCGTCGGGCGTCACGGCGGGGCACTCCCGAAAGTGCCCGTGGAAACCGTCCGTTGACCAAGTCCAGGGTTGGATTCTCGTGTGCACTCTACCGGATGGCGCGGCTGCTCTCGCGCTCGGGGCAATTTGATTCAGGAGACAGAGGAAGCTTGACTAGGACTCCTGTTGCTACTGCGGTAGTTTCAGTGAGCCATCTTGACGTAATTTCTGTTCATCACCTCGTAGTCGACTTCTTGCTCTTCAGGTCGGCTCGGGCTCACAACGTGCTCACATGTGGCTAGATGCACCACTAGACGACGAGTATCTGGGTCGGTGCTACTGTACATAAAGAACCGGTACTGGATCTCAACGTGAGTCATCGCGGTCTTTGGGGAGTTCTCTTCGTAGAAACGGACTCGTGCTCAGCGAACGTGTCGGCGAGTTGTAGGCAGACCGTGAAGGGTAGGAACTTCTTCGTTTTGCAGGGTGATTCGATTCATTGTCGACGTGCCCTGCACCAGGACCACTCCTGCGGGACATCGACACTCACCTGCGCATTGTGACAAAATGTTCTTGACGATCAACTTAATTTGCATCGTTGTTGAACCATTTTGAGGAACTTCGAATGAGTGTAATTCGGAGGCGCTGCAAGTGCATTGTAGGACTAAGAGCAGGAAGCGCACCAAATACAGTCAACTGTAAGTTTAATGACAACGAATACAACCAAAGACAATCAACTCGTCTCAATCCGATTATTTACTACGTTTCTAGTACCAGTGCTCATGGTCAACTTCGAGGACGTCTTGTTGATAACTTCAGATTCCCTTTCTCACCTGCTACAGTAGCTGTTGTGTGTAGGAGAGCGAACAAGACTCTTGAACGTAAAAATGTATACACGTAACATTCTTCCAATGAAAGTGTCTTCGAGTACACCGAGCGCATTCATGATAGCCAGGTCAAAAATCAGTTTGGTGAAAGGGAACGTCTATGAAATAACAAGCAGTTTAAGAACAATGCCTACGAGACTTCGTTTCGGTGGAAGCGTGTGTGTCTCCAGTATGTTTTGGTGTGGTCGCTTTACAACTGCGCCGCCGACACCAGCAATTGCAGCTGATATACCGTCATCATTACAGCCACCTGTAGAATCTGTGCCCGACTTTACAGCGAACACAGACGTCATTGGGGCTGTACAGAATCAACTATTGAAGGTGGAGGCATTTCCAGGACTATGACGAAGCTTCGGGATGCAGGACAAGACAGCGCGTAGTAGGCAGTAGTGTCGCAATAGAAGTCAGCATAAGTTGAGCTGTGGCAACGAGCTCACGAAGTACCAGGCGTGGGATTTGGATCGGAAAGAGTGAGTGAGTGAGCTTCATTGAGGTACTTATCAGATCTCTAATGGCTAGGATGGGGGTTTACACCGCCAAGCTATGAAAAAAAAACAGGGGCTATACAGCTACCCTCCGACCGTAGGAAGCAACCGCCGATAGAGCAGAAATACTTGGACCCGGGGTATGTGTTGGAGGAAATGCCTGCCACTCGTGCACGTCAGTGCGGAGAAACCGTTGCACTCTTGCAATCAGTGGTCGATTGTCAGTAGCGCACGTTTGCTGTGACGTTTTGGAGTCCATCGCAATATTCGCAGCCAAGTCTGCCATTTTGTTGTTAGCGCGGTAGTGATGAGACCACCCGCAGATTCCTAGGCTATCCGCACATCTTCTCGCCTTGAAATAAAGTTGTCAGAGTCGGGGTTGACGCGGAGGCCGATGCCGCCGTATTTGCTGGATAATTAAAGAGCTGTCACCGACCACGTACAATGGTGTGAGATGTCTAGTTTCAGCGTGACGGAGGCCATGAATAAGCCCCCAATATTCCGCCATGTTGTTGGCTGTGCTGTTATGCGCATATGACATGCTCGCCGCCCAGGTAATCTCTGATGCTCGCGTGTCCAGATCAACACAGACCATGACCGAACCGGATCCGCCTGGACCGGGATTACCACGCGAGCCGCCATAAAAAAAAGCACGTAGGCGCTCCGGTCTCGAATCGGTGGCGAGAGAATCGTCCCGTTAATCGTCCCCTTGAGACGATCAGCCAGCGCCCTGGTAGCGGCATTCTTCGGAAGTTTTGAAATATCCGTGTCGAATTTATAACTCAATGAAACCAAATCGCGCAAGGCATTGTCTACTGTAACGCAAATTACCGCCCGCAATGTCGATTGAAGCGCATCTGGCTCGTGGCGGAGACGAAGTAGCGCACACCAGATGGCTTGAATTGTCGCCGCCACCGTCAGCCTCGACAAATCCCTGGAAACCTCGTACAAAACATCACAATGCTCGGTACCTGCAGCACGAACATGATCACATACCGTTCGCCACGCACGTGTCGGCGTATCGTCTAGGTCCAAACTGAAGCACGATTCAATAAGGTTAGCAGGCACGTTGTCGCCGAGACGCCTCCATCGAATGTCAAAGTCTTTCCATGCTGCCTTCGCAATAGGGCACTCCCAGAAGACGTGTTGAAGGCTAATAGGTACGTCTCGGGGACACTCGCCATGTGGACAAGAACGGTCACTGTGCACATAGTTCCATAAATTCAGCTTGTTGGCCTTCAATCGAAAAAGTGTCTGGACCGTAGAAGCCCCAGCTCCCTTCACTGCCCGAATGTCACGCCAACCCAGCTGGGATAGTGCATCATGCAGGTCCTTATTATTTGTAGCTTGAACAGCGATTGCCCGATCTCTCTCCACAGTCCCCTGTGCCAAACGCTGCCCGGACACAGCCTCCTTGTACCGCGCCCGATTAAAACGCCAATTAGCCCAGGTGTGAAGCTGCACAAGTCGCGACAATGCAGGATGATCATGAAAGCGGAAGTCCCGCTTATTGATGTCTGCACGGGCTCGGAGTTCACAGTCATACCGCGACTGGACTGGGACTGATGTATACACGATCGTGTTATTCGAGAAGACAATGCTCTTTGCATTTTCAGAAAGGCGCCACGAAAGATTCGACGACGTGCTAGCATCAATCGGTCTCAAGAGCGATGGTGAGCGCGGTTGAAGGAAAAGCGTGGGATAATTGCACACAATCGCCTTGCACAGGACCGAGACCGCACGCCGAATAGCCGGTGACCGTGAACGCTGAAGCTCGAACTTTATGGTTCCATCTCCGTGCCATATCCAAGTCAGGAGATCATGAAGCGTTTGCCACTGTTCTCCACGCCGCAGGAGAGGTATATTGACGTCCTATCCCCGTCCAGTGATCAACCATTGCCTCGTATCGAGTCCCACCCGACCTAGCCACTCGTGGCAGAAAGTTCCACGTATGCACTGCTCGCCGACCGCTTTACTTGCAATGGCTTATACCGTGGCAGTATCGATACGAAATGTTAACGTATCGCCCTCCCAGTAGGCAGCTGAAATATGCCGACGCAAGAGAGACTCAGTTGCTGCAACACATCCAGCATTAGACAAATCAATAGGGACGCTATGCACACCACGAACCACAGCTGCTCCGCTGGCCCACATGGTGTCGGAGACCGTAAAACACTTAGGGGTTGTGCATGGCTTATCCGGAGTAAGGTACACATCAACTCCAGCTCTCCTTGCCAGCAAAATGTCACCCGCGACTCGAGCTGGCCCATTCGAAAAAGATGCCCATTTACCGACCGCATTGGCCGCCATAGCAAGCAGCTTCGTTGCTACATGTGGGATAGCAATCCCCCCATCACACACACGTAAACTGGCCTGTGCTTCACTCATCCACGCTCGAGATGGCACACCTTGTCGCGATCCCCAAACAAAACGCTTAACCAAAAGCTGTAACGAGTCGGTAACCTCACGGGTAGGCCACGAGTGTCTCGCGAGAAACGTGACCCTGGGAATGATTAAAGCCGAGGCTAATAGAGCTCGGCTCCTGACCGTGTTTGTCTTTCGTCTGGCTAGCACAAGCCGAGCATTGAGTGAGACTAGGCATGCACTTCAGTTGTCCCGAACCGTCCGTCCATCCCCAATTAAAACGCCAAGATACCTGCACCTCTCGCCCGCCTGTAACAGCTTAACACCGTGCAAAAGTGTGGGGTCAATGCTCACACCGGCACACAGAGGAACCGCCACAGACTTCGAAGCATTAATGACCAGCCCAGAAGCCGCCCCAAATCGCATTAGAGTCCGCATGACCACAGACACTTCCTCCGGGGACTGAACGTACACAGCATTATCATACGCGTACCCGCATACCTTGATCTCCAGTGTCTCCGACGTGTTTGCGATCCGAACACCCTTCACCGTGCTATGTAGTATCTCGTAAAGAGGTTCCACCGCAATGATAAAAGCAAGGGTGCCAGCGGGCAACCCTGGCGTATACCACACCCGACATCAAGAGGATCGGACATGTAGCCGTTTACGATGAATTGGCTTCTTGTACCCATGTGAAGAGCCGAGGTGAGATGAACAAACGATGCCGGGAAGCCGAGTCGGCTCATCACGGCGAGAAGAAAATTGCGTGAAAGCGAATCATACGCCTTTGAGAAATCCAACAGCAACATGAGCGAGCGGTGCAATTCGGGATCATTACATGCACACAATTTAGCAGCAGCGAAGATATCAAGTACCGTCGCCATCTCTCTTCGAGGTACAAAACCAGTTTGGAGAGGATTTACTAGAGTTGGTAGCAGCGGTCTGAGGCGGGACGCGTAAATCCGTGTGAAGACTTTGTAGTCCGAGTTTAACAGAGATATCGGTCGATAGTCAAGTGGTGATGCCGCACTCCTCGACTTCTTTATGCACGCCACTACAGCTTGACCGAACGTGCCCGGCAAGATGCCGCCAAGTGCGCACACGTTAAATACCCTTGTCAGTAGAGGTACAAGGTAGGCCTCATTGTCGCGGTACCAGTCGTTATTAAGCGAATCCGGTCCCCACGCCTTACCCCTTTTGCAGCGACGAATAGATGTTAGCACCTCAGCTGCTGTTAATTCGTCGCTGAGAACCGAAAGGTCGGGACCATGGTCCCGCGGAGGGAAGCGAGTCGAGGAAATCAGTGACGATCGCTTTATCAGGAGGCGTTTGTTGCATGATGGCGCGCCAGCCCTCACGCATATCCTGTGCAAGATCACGTGCCCGATGATGGCCGAGGCCAGTAGGACCCCGTAGGCTGTACACCGTATTATCGACAAACTTGGTCGACACTCTGCGGTAGAATTTTTTTTTGTGACCGTGCCGGATGGTGTGCATGGGACCGAAAAAGCGATCGACGTTTCATCTTCTGCCACTTGGCCTTGCAATCTACTACCGCACGTCGGGCTTGGATGACCGATTGAGACGGATCAGCACCCGGACCAGGGGTTTCTCGGATCGCGGTCGCCAGACGGGCGGTAAGCCGCTTTAGGCGCTGTCGGTAGCCGGTCGTAGATTTTCGGCGAGCATCCTTGGCCGCATCGGAGTATCTCTGTCGCAGTCCAGCTTTTTCAGCATCCCACCATATGGCCGTTGCCCGGGCTTGTTCCGTAACGGTGTCTGCTGTTGCGATGACGCCTTCAAGGGTCCTTGATGCACGTTGGAAAAAGTCCGTCGTCATCAACTCGTACTCTCGCACAGCGTACCTAGGCGGCGGGTACAACTGCCTTCGCGACTTCACCTGCACAGTCCGTCCAGGAACTGCCACACGTATTGAAACACCGTTGTGATCGGAGAAAGGACCAGGAATAGACGTGCCGATTACGCGTACCCATTCTCCGTCGACGGCCGAGCAGTACCACCGGTCAAGTCGACAGCTTGCCTCACGCCCACCCGGCATCGTATAGAAATACGTGTGATGTTTGACTCGCCAATCAATGTCCGAATCGTGGTCGTCGATGTCGTCATCCAAAACATCAGTTAAGCCGCCGCAATCCAGAAGGCGGCGCAGTGCCGGAGGGTCATGGCTGTTCCAGCGAGAAGTGTAAGACCGATCGCGAGAATCTAAAAAGCGTGCAATAGAGATTGCCGCAAAGAAACACCGGACTATCGACACTGGATACCACGTGTTCGAGCGATTGAAACAGCTTCTCCCGCTCGGACCTCAGCACGGGCGCGTACACATTAATAATCGTAAACTCTCTGATCATCCAGAATTGCAGTCGCAGCCATCCAGTGAGCGGTCCAGTGCTCCATCTGGAATGCCTGCAGTTAAGATATCCGCCTGTACGGGCGTAAAAGAATAGCGAGACCGCCGGACCGTCCCACGCTCGGACTCCATAGCGAGAACTGATTTTCACCATCAGCGACAAAGCCCCAAGATAGAAGATGCAGCTCCGTCGCCGCTGCCGTACCATTCACAGGCACACTAGTCTCCTGAAGGCACGTGATGTCCAGCATGCCATCTTGCACAGTTTAACGAAAATGCGCAACCCAGCGACTTTGCCGTTCGTTTTTGGCTCCCAGACCCGTAACATTTTGTGTAAGAAGACCACATGACAGATCATGGGCTGACCCGCGTCTGCGTGGCACGCGTTTTTTTTCGATCAAGCTGGGAGCACGCTCGTCCTGACACCGAGAAGCCCTTAGGAACGACGCACGGCTGTGCTGCGCCCAATTTCACAGATGCCAAGCACATCGACCAGCGATCCAGACTGAATCACGGTGTCAGCGACCTTCCTGATCTCGTTATCGTGCTCGTACACCCGTGCACACGTGTCGGGGAGCACCAGGCCACAGTCTGGCTGCTTTGGAAATCTACTTGGACAGAGAATACTCAGCAGGGAAAGAATAGAGCTGAGTGGGTCTTCCAGGGCAGGTGCTGTGACACCCGTAATTAAATCGCTGTCGAAACACTCCACTTCTCTCCACCACTCCTCTGAATTTGTTAATTTCCAGCGGCAAGCAATTTTTCCCAGAGAGCGAATTGCGATAGCACGCCGCTGACACATAGAGCGGAGACGAACTTCTAAGTTCTGGTCCATCGAATGATGGTCGATCAGCGCAAGCTGAGAATTGCAGCAAATGGATTGACCAAATTTAAACAGCTCTGATCGTCCCCATGTGTAAGCTCCATGAGTGGGTACGGTAGCGAAGTGATCAGTGATACCAACTGAGAGAAATATTGTTCAATCCAGATCGAAAATTTTTCACCATTCGCTGGTAGTACTGGTGTCGACGATGTCCGTCGCCTCCACGTCGCGATAGCGATGCCGTTCTGTTTTTTTGGCGATTGCGCTCTGAAACCTCCTCACTCGTCAGCCGCACGCAGGGTGATGTCGGCTGCAGTAACTTAGCAACTTCAACGATTACACCGGATGCAACTGGTTGTGGGCAGCCCAACCTCGGTGCGGGCATCACCCGTGCTTTGTGCCTACGAGAGGACGCAAGCGTAGCGGCATGATCATCCGCCTCGCGTTGAACCGCAGCGACCGCGTTCCACGCTTCCACGGCATCCGGTGAAGGTGATTCATAACGTGGAATGGCCGGCAGCGGACCAGCCATGACACGATCCTGACTGTCTATGGGTAAAATTGAATCAGTGTCCTGCGCTGCAAGCACTGCTTCCAAACCAGGAGGGAGAGGGGGAGGCCATGTGAGAATTGATCGCAGTCGTGTCGGGGCCATCTGTGCAACAACGTGTCCTGTAGACATTCGAAGAGGCGGTAGAGGGAGGCACCGATGCCTCAAGCTCATCGATATCCATAGTGGCGGCAAGCGACGACGGTGATGGACCACCAGAAGAATGGTCCACCTCCGTCCGATCTTGCCCATCAACCGCTGTCGAAGGTGGTACCTCGAATACCGTCGACACAGCGTGCTCGCCAACCACAAAAAGAGCGGGTAAAATCAGCAGTGGCCATGTCGCGTGCATCGCTATCATTTTCATTGACAACCGTGGACATCGCTTCTTCAGAAGATGCTCCAGGAGCAGCTGGTACTGCAGCAGGGGCCACTTCACAACTTTTTAGAGTTCTGTGCTGACCCGATACCGGTTAAGGCACCGACGTCGGCAGCGAGTCAGCTGCCACCCCACGACTCGCAGACCTTGCGACGGGACACGAGCCTTCAAACTGTTGAACCGCTGCCGCACGAGCAGCCGCAGCCATAGCAGCAGCCTTCGTAATCGTCGCGAAATGATTCGTAGCCGCTTTCAGCTTTGAACGACGAATAGCAAGTAGTTCAGCTGTCACCGCAGCCTTAGCCTCCACTCGCGCTGCCACTTCTCTCTTGTGAATGACTGTTTTTTGCCGCTTAGGTGCCCCTCCACCATGGAAGCTCGGCGAAGTTTGTCGCCAAGCCCAGGCGCCACCTTTTGACGTAGAATTTCAGTTGCCTTGATCCATCCATCCGCGTGAGGAGTCAATGACACATAGGATGTTACCGAGGCCGTTGCAGATAGAGTATAGCTTGCACATGTACTCTCGGGATCCACAGCCGCACAGTCCTTACGGAAATGTCGAACGCTGAGACACCGCTGGCACGGCTTGCGAGTACTCTTCCGCGGGTGCATGAGTACCACCTCGATACTCTTATCGCCGGTCGTCACTAAAATCCTGTGCTTCCGGTCAGTTC